GCTTCCCCTTTTTCAACCCCCATTTTCATCGCCTCACTAGCAGGACTTGTTTCATAATCATCCCTCCGTATACCTATTTCGTGGAGCTTTGTCAGGACGTCATTGTTTGCGTGTCCTGCTGAGTTGCATAACTAGTTCGTTCGTTAGGTTGACAAGCAAGTGCAATAAACCCAAATACCTGCTGTTGAACTGTTTGACATGAATGTCCAATGTCTGATGCCGGGTTAGGTAAGCCTTTTCCATCCTTTTACATAACTCGCCTACGTTTGCATGCGCTGTCCGTGAAGTATGAAGCGCCTTGTAAGGCTGCCGGGCCTTATTTGTATGCGCCATCAATATGTGAGCTCTCGTTTGCAATTTAAATCGGCGCGAGTTTCCCGTGGAACGCCGCGTCGGTGCGGAGCGACTGGTAAAGGATGTGAGGTGCTCTGCACTGGAACTGACGGCCCGTGCCCCGGGGCGGTCAGAGTACCGGCTGCTGCCTGTCTGAGGCGCCCAGCCCTGCAGTGGAGACTGGCCTGGCGAATGACTGTACTCCGCCGAGCTGTGCTGTGGCGTGCGGCAGGTCCGGGCCGTGGGTGTTGGAGGGGGCGGCTCACCGGCGTTATACCGGCGCCGCCCGGTGCCCAGGCCGCCCCACCCCGACCAGTCCAGCCAGGCCGCCGCGGCCGCCCTCCACCGTGAGATCAACAGGCGGCGGCCGGTGCAGCGTTCGCCGCGCACTGTCTGTGGCGACGACCGGGAAAGTGCCGGCTTCGAGCACGGCGGCGCGGCACGACGCGGTGCCGTATGAGTCACCAGGTGCTGCGCTGCTCTGTCAGACAGTGTACCTGTGCCCGGGTCTGCTGTCAGAGGCCGGACTCCATCAGCTGGTCCGTCTGTTGATCGGGGAGTTTTGGCCTTCCCACCGGGTCTGCGACCGCCCGGGCGCGGCAGCCAAACAGAGGGTTGGTGGAGGGTCTGTTCCCCGCCCCTGTGGCGGTCCCGTCGGGGCTTCTGGTCAGCTGGCCACGGATGTAAGCCGTAGTCGAACTAGTGGGCTTCTTGTTAGGCATCAATCTTGTCGGTCGGGGTAGCAAGTAGTCCAGTGCACCGGTCGAACAACAATGCACCAGTTAGAGCAATAAACAAACCAGTACAAAGAAGACCGGGCGAGGTCGTGTCAGGTCTACCAAGGCCTTCGATAGACCAGCCTTTGATAGGGAAGCCAGGGAAGATCGACGATTGATTTGTTGAGCTGTCTACTGCTTAGTGTGGGTTCCCGTTGGCCGTGTCGCACCCCGCGGCCCGCCGCACGCGCTGGGTCACAGCCAGGAAGTGGTCCACCCACACACAGGAAACAGCACACTGGCTGGTGCCGCTCCAGTATCCGCCGCCACCCGCCACCACGGGCGTTGACCGTGTCGTGCTGTGGTGTGATGGCGGTCATTAGCGTCACGTAATCGGCTCCTGTCTGTCGCTTGTGCCAGTGGGGCTGTGGGGGTGTTATCCTGGAGCAATGTGCTGTCTGTAGCTCCTGTCCTGGCTGTGCACTGTACCGAACTCGCTGTAATATCTAGCCCCACCGCCACGCTGCCGCCAGCCCTTGCCCGCCCGTCTGTTCGGCTAGCCCGTCCGTCTGCTCGTCCGGCCGTTGGCGGTGGGTTCCCTCTGTGACGTCACAGTCAGCTGGCCTTGCCGACGGCGGTTTCAAGGGCGGTGCCCTGGCGGATGGCGGCTGGCGGCCCGTGCAGACTGGCGGCGCAAGCACGTGGTGCCCCCAGACGACATTGGCGGACGGCAGGGAATTGGGAGTGTAATGGTGCCACTATGGGAGTCACCGAGGCCGTTCAGCGCGTGCTATGTGGACTGTGATGGATGCCGCTCACGTGACCCGTCTGCCGCGGCTCACAATGGAGCTCGAAGGACGCGGTGGGTCTCGGATGTTTACAGCTGTCCGCCCCGACTGAGATTGATTCGATTCGGGGACTTGGTCGGACGGTAGTAAACGGATGAGTCCGGGTTTCAAAATCTGATACGGCGTTTATATTTCTTGCCCGAATATTTTAGCCTAGCAAGAGTCCACTTTCCTCTTGAATGAACTAAACGCGCTCAGTCGTCTTGCTGAGAGGATGCATGGAAACTTCAGTGCCGGTGTCAACAACTTCCTTAACTCAGCCTTCGAATATTGACTTCAAATCGGAGCAATGCGTTAAACTGCGAACCCTTTTTGAGTTGTAAGAAGTTTATGTCAGCAAAGTATCCGCCACGGACCAACGAGTCGAATCAGACCGTTCTTCTATTGAGCTGCGCCACTGAATATGCATGGATGTTTGTAGGGCATTTAATGCCTTCTTTGAACTCTGCGACCTCATCCGAGTCAGCCCGTAGCATGTTGCAAAGCCCCATGACAAGTGTGTCGCACCATGGATTGAAATCCACTAAGCTCCACGAGCTCAGAAGTGTACCGACAAGTGACGCGAGCATTTTCCTGCTCATAGTCTTTCTCTTCCCGTTGTGTATCTATCAACGATGCCGACCCTTTGGCCTAATTTCTTTTGTACTTGCCCGACGCACTCTGGTATCCCCTTCTCAGATCTGTGACCACTCCCACTCCACTCCCTAGCTCTCCTTCTCCTGCGTCCGCTCCGCTGACTCCCGCTATCCTCTCTCGCCTGTCCTCGCCGTCTGTCGCTGCCTACCTGTTTCCCTATCCCCGTGTTTGCTCGCGTCGCCGAGCCCGCGACTGGTCGCGGCACCGGGCCCAGATTGCCTATCGGCCGGTGTTATCTCTGCGGACGGTTCCACCGGCGTGCTGTGGCTGGTGCTGTGATTAGGGTGTCCGGTGAGGCGTTACCACGGGACGGTACAGCGGGATGGACGTACTGGATTTGCCGTGTGCTCCCCTTTTTTGGTGTCGAGGATGGATGCACAGGAGGTTTTGTCGTCGGTTGGGGGGGGGGACGGACTCGGTGGCGATATTCATGCACCTCAGCGGGACTCTTCCTGTCGTGTCGGACCGCTTAGACGGCTCACGGTATTGACACCGGGTGACGCTTCCTCGTCCTCGTCATGTTGATATCAGATCACTTTCATCCAATCATGATGGCCATTCTGATGATCGTATGATCCAATCTCACCACGATGGTGCGGTCCGCACTCTTCACCTTACCTAATTCTCTCTCCTTGTTGGACTGTTGGTGGTCGATATGTCTGAGCACTCCCACAGTCTGAATATGACCTTTGATGGTGTTCATCTACTGACTGACGCCTCTGGGGTCATCTGTCAGTCGTCAGATCTTGTAGTGTCTGGCTCCTGTCTGATCCAGACAGCCTCAGTCCGTGTTTGGCGTCACATGGCATGTTTCTGACCAAACGTGATGTGAGACTATAATGGCTCAACTGGATATATCTGGGCACATTCATCAGCATTCTTGACCACGCCCTGATTAGTTAGTGATCAGTGTTTTTTTTTTTTTTTGCCCTTTGTCTCACGTCTTCTGTCAACGCCTTAGCCATGTTTCGTTTATTTCGGCGGTCTGAGCCATCTATATCTTTCTCATCGCACTCGTTAGTTAAATAATCTCATCGCACTCTTTAAATAAGGTTTTCTGCGTTGGTTTTTTTTTTTTTAGCTCGTTTGTTAAATTGGATTTCATCAGTTGTGACTACTTTGCTTCTCTTAAACTACTATATTAAAGGGACTGTCCCACCTTTGCATTAGTTCTGAGTTGAGATAGCCAAGTTGGCGTCCAGGTTCAGAAACCACTATTTATCCTGGTCGCAATATCCTCAGTTTCGTGGTGTTACAGAAATTCGTTCCCTTCATTTGAAAAGTGGGCCTTAGCTAAGGCCCTATCTCTTAACTATCAACGGCCATTTGATGACGTCATTTGCATTTTGAACGCCTGTCACGCATGTGAAGTTTCACTTGATTTACGAATAAGCTAATCAGAGACACTTGTTATTGTATGAGCCGCGTCATATTTGAGAGCAATTACCTATATTTGCTGCCAAATTTCCCCCACATTGACATGAAGTAAATCCTTCATTACGTCACAGATCCGATCTAAGTGACGTCACGATGAAATATAAAAGTCGCAATATCTCAAAAAGTATACAATGAAAACGCGTAAAAACTTGCAGAATTCGTCACAATATCATGAGTAACATTTCCGAATCCTAAATTGTACTTTTTTGAAGGTGGGATAGTCCCTTTAACAGCATGCATACTCCACTGATATTTCTCCCGTTTTTTGCATTTTTTGTTTTTTCCTTACTCTTAGCTGGGAGTGCCGCGACTTATCATTTTAAGTTCACTGGTGTTAACGTAAGGTTCTGTGTGTCGCTGGGATAGAGGGAGGGGGCACTCCTGGTCACCTGTTCATGGGTGGCGGTGTAGAAAAAAATAAATCCTTTATATTACCCAATTGTTTAATATATTCCTGCCCGGGGCCGGGATGATTCAATAAATGTCACCGAGGCTTTTTTTAGCGAAAACTCCGAGGGCCGTTAGGCCCGAGGTGATTTTGCTAAAAAAAGCGAGGTGACATTTATTGAATATCCGGCCTAACGGCTGGAAGGTGTTTCCCATACCTGCCAAAAGCTCACAACTATATGATAGTGACGTCAGCAGCCGTGTGGTTCAACATGTTGAACCACACCCCTTGAACCACACGGCTGGTAATATTAAAGCATTGCATTAAGCTTTGAAAAGTGTGGTACAGTGCACGTGCCGTTTAAATGCCTGGATGTCTCGATTTAATCATGCAATGTAGCAGGTATGGGAAAATTGGATTCCATCAATCCTTTATGTTGCCCAATAGTGACGGATAGGCACCCAACAAAAGTACTACGTACGAAAAAATACAGCTTGTATATCTCGCAGATGCGGCACAATGTGACATTAACATCTGTCGTACCTGATAACCCAACGGCCAACATACACCTTTCCCCGTCCATTCCTCAGTATCTCTCGGCTCGACATGACCCGTATCTGACCGTTGCCTCTCCCGTTTCAGGTGTTCCGTCGCTGCTGCAGTATGATGAGCGGCCGTCGCACAGTGTCCAGTTCGTGGAACTGCACAGAGCAAGGCGACAGGCCACCCCGGAATCCAATGGAATTAACACCGCCAGCCAGAATAATGTGGCGCCGTCCACCGGCTCCAGGTGAGTAAGGGCTGAATCCCGGCTCTTGCTTTAGGAAACGAGGGTGTGAGAGAGTTTCGGATAGTGATCGGCGCCGGCTAAGGCTCGTCTTGTGTCTTGGTAGGTTGTGTAGAATTGTGGGTTGATGACGCTCAAGTCAGTGCGGATTGAGTTCTGTTTTGAACAGACCGAATATTTTTCCGAAGTTCGGTTACGTGTAGTTGGCGTCAGACAGGGCACATCCCGTGAATGGGATCGTGTGGAATGGTGTTCCGGTTACTGGTAGGTCAATCTCTGGATAGAGTTGAGATTTAACCAGACTGAGGATGTTTTTAAAGTTTGGTTGAGAGTGAACCCCATCGCCAGATGTTCATCCCGTGAAATCGTACGGCATTTTCGGTCACTGCTGCACAGGGCTCGGCGACAGGCGACCCCGAGACCAATGGAAAGTCGGGACGGCTGTGAGTGTGGAATGCCTGGCGTTCACCCGTTGTCGGGTCAGTGGCGATGCTTGATGCTTGATTCTTACCATGTTCTGTCCAGCCGATGCCGGTCGCTCAAGCGGTGATGTCTATGCCTATATTTGACTGGGCAGAGGCCAATGGAACTGGCTGCCGGTATATTCTGCTGCGTTGCCTGCCGATTATAATTATCAGGCTAATGTCCAATTGTTTTGAAGGCAATCATTCTCATCACTATCGCTATTCAGCTTTCGTTGTTTAAATCCCTGCTCATTAGCAGGGCTATTCGGTTTCGTTCGCGCCGGGAAATGGAAGATTATCTTTCCTGTATAAGGGAATAGGTTCCTAGAAATCCAATTGATATGGGGAACGCCTTTCGAATAAAATAATAACTATCGTAATCGTATTGCTCGTTCAGCTGAGCTTTTCTTTAAGAAGTAACTTGAGTTTTGCGACATTCATGTCGGATTTAATTTCGTACAGTTTCACCCATTCCGGTGGCGTGACTTCATTATGAGTCCATTAATAGTCTTTAATTGATAATCGATTTAATTACGACTTGCGTAACGCTAAATCTCTTGTAGGGTCGACGACTTATTGCTTAGTTTAAGCATAGTGAAATATTATAACTTATTTACACCTTATATCACTATATTATAACTTATTTTAAAACCATAGTGTAAGTTATTTATTACACTATGGTTTAAGTTACGACGCCATATGTCGCGCCAGTCAATAATGGACAATCCTATCGATATCACCTCGGGCAGATAGAGTCCACTTCATAGACTAAATACACATAACTGAGTGGCCAAGCACACTTCCGGCACTGATCCTCAGGCATGCCACCAATGCATGCTTACATTCATTTCATATCAGACTGTGCACATATCGGCTCTTTCCTTTCCTGATAGTTGCATAACGTTACCATGACTGACCCTCCCCCTCCCTCTCCCTCCCCTTCCCCCTCCCTTCCCCTCCCCTCCCCTCTCGGTCGGGTGACGTGGCATCCCACCCAGTTGCGGCCGCGGTCACCGTGACCCGCCATGCAGAGCCAGATGCGTAGATAACGCTCTGGAGAGCTCCATGGCGGCCCGACACGCAGCGCTGCTCATCTGACGTCACTGGGGTCTTTACGGGAACCAGTGACGTCATGGTGGTGTGTCACGCTCTGTGGATGTTGGCGGGTGTATTGCGTCGTTACCTGCCGTCTTCTGATCACCAACTGGGGTGTCTGACTAATAACTACACGGACTGACAGTAGACAATAGATGTTGTTTTCATGTGAATTTTGTTGGAGGGGGTTTACCAGTTGCAATGCGTCATAACCTGTTGTTTCGACCACCATAAGTCATTTGCTAACGCCGCGTTTATTTTCAGCTCATCAACCACAACCACCACGACAACGACAACCACCACCACTACCGCTGCCACCACCGCTGCTTCTGCGGCTGGAGCCGGTGGAGCGGCGGCTGTGACTACCACGGCGGCTCCGGAGGCAACCACGGCCGCTCCGGCAGCGACTACAGCTGCTCCGGCCGCCACCACTGCTGCGCCGCCGCCAGCTGCGCCCACAGAGGCCAGCTATGATGATCTGGACAGCTTCCAGCCCGGAACGAACCATACGTACCACATCAACGGCACGGAGGTTCAGCAGGCGCAGATTGTGAGTACCACGCGCCGCATGCAGTAAGCTGAGAGGGTCCGCCTCATAAGGTCACCGATAGAAGGTGGATTTGTATAAGAGCGCCATGTTTGTATAACTTAGACAGCGCATACCGTCAGGCCGCACTGGACATGTGATCTGCTAGGAAGCGATGTCCACCGAATACCTAAGTCCTCAGAGTTCGTTTTACGGTGATAAACAGAGGCTGTGTGTTTATGTGATTGGTCTGCCTGTACCGATGTCAGTGTCACGGGCTGGTGGTATCAGATCCGCGCAGGGCCTTGGACGGGCTCTGGAGGCCATCAGTGGACGGCTGACAGCTCGGAGAACGGGGGCTGGCGCAGCTCGCTATTTTCCCCCTCTCCCGTCCCCGCCGCGAGCTTGATGGCCATAAAGAGCCGGCTAGACACGGGCTAATTGATTGGTTGATGCTGCCAGTAGCCTCTGCCAGCAGAAATGAGCATTGGTCATAGTCTGTAAGATCCTGATAAATGGAACCGTCCGCTGAGCAGTGTAATGATTAGCGAGGCGAGTCCTGCTTTTATGTCTCAGCTCAGAGTTGAAGACTCGGGTCCACCCGGCCCACCGCTCACCAGTCCTCATCAGTTGGGATTTAGTACGAGGCACCCACACATCTGTCAGATATTATCCCCTTCATCAGTGTGCTCCCTGCTTCGACCCTTGCCGGCTGTTTTCTACGGTCTGAGGATGTGACTCGTGCACCCCGCGCAGGGCGCTGTGGTGCTCGCTTCCTGTCCGTGTGGCGTGCACACGGACAGCTGTCGACAGCTGCGGCAAAGACGATCATAACTCAGTCACACGGCGCACTCGCCTGGCGAATGAAATGCACGTCTGGGTAATATCACCTGGTTTTGATTGAATGGGCCCCGGAAGAAAATGTCCTAGCTTTGGCAGCGGTTGATCTGTTATTAGCGGGGAATGCTAGATGCGAAAACCATGCAAAGCTTATGTCAAAGGGGAAGGAAGAGAAAGCACGATAAACCCGCAATAGCGCTCGAACTGATTCAACTCTCACGTTGTGCATTGCAGGAAATTTCATGCATGAAAGCTCGGTGTGCTTAATTATTTTCCTGCAGTGAAGTGAATTTGAATGTTGTGCTTTCGCGTGCGGATTGACATTGGTATAGACCACTTTCTAGTTTCCAAATCAGTTTATGACAGTGGATGCACGCATGCAAGTGGCACGCGTAATATGTGGCTATCAATGGTCCGATCCTCGTGTAATTGTCAGGGTTTTTCGACTGTCATGTATCGGTTACCTGTCACTGCAGTGGATGGAGCGCACCGTTAGATGTGCGTGCGTGTAACGGAAAAGTGTTACGGAATCTTTGCACCGACTCAGCGGGAAGTGACAGCTGAGAATATCACAGCTCACAAGCAGTGCGTGAAGGTCAGGGTGCAGGAGCTTTGACGATATAAGTCTGGTATATGACGCGGATATGCTGGAAAGGAGGCGACTGGTCGACTGGTTTGAACACTCATGTTTTACCTTCACTAGGACGTTATCGTTGTCTGTCATCGGCGGCGATGATTTCAATTCGAATAGCAAGGTCGGGTCATACCGGCAACTCGGGTCCAAATTTTCACCCGGCGACTCCAGACCATACGAGCAAGGTCTCAGATCCCGAGCTCGGTGCACTGTTAGCCGATCTCTAAAACCCTCGGCCTCTGCTGGTCTCAAATTCATCGATCCAACCAAGGCATATCATGGAAACTACCTGCCGACCCGTCGGTATCAGCAGGCTGCTGACTGCGGCTGTTGACGCCTCGTCTGATGATCCGGTGCCGACGCTGAGCTGAGATGAACTGATAAGCGCCGGTGCTGTCTCAGATGTCACCGGTGCAGTGTGGTTATCTGTGATACTGTCTGAGACGCTTCCTGTCCACCCGTCTGCTGCCCAGATCAAACCAGACACTGGACACTGACGGTGGAGCAGTGGATTGTAATGTATCCCTGAAGCTGCGTCGTGTATTGCTGGGACGTATCAGTTGCTGGTACCTGTCTAAGACGATACGGTGACAGGAGTGATGAGCCAGGTGTCATTTGTCCAAGATAGGTGGTGTTGGTTTGCTCATCATAGCGGAAGTGCAGTTGACGTTGTTTACCCCGGCGCTACGGCTACGGAATGGTAACCGCCGACCATTTTCCACCGCTTGCCGTCCAACGTCCACCGTCCACCAACCACTCTCCACCTTCAAGTCGTAAAAATGTCAAATGTCACCGCCCACTGATTTTAACCACCTACTTTCCCTCTCGCCAACAGGACGACCACAAGTACTACGAGTCCAAGTTCGTGCCTCAGGGCAAGGACTACTGGGTGGATCTGGATAAGCGGCCTGCCAGCAGCGTGGTACAGCACGACATGCTGTCAGAGGCACATCGACGCGCCGCGGTAAGTCGAGTGACATTTTTACCCGGAGCGGACACGAACACGAGTCCGTAGTGTTTATGGAGAGCTGCCGCAGATACATGAGCAAGTGAATATGGATTACAGACGTATGGTAATGAGTTTTGAAATCATATTATGTGACTGTCGCATTATTTTCTTCTTCTCCCTATCTTCTATTTAAATATAAAATCCTTCTGAATAGCTCGCCAAATTACCACACATCCGTCTGAAGATTAGTGTGGCATGATTTGAGCCTTACTCCTAGAGGTCTTTCACCTTTCCCTCTCTACCCGTAACTACATGAACCAGTGAACTTTTCGCTGAGCCCTCCCCTTTACTGGGTGTGGGGCAGTGTCCCAAAATATTTCGATTTGGGTGGGAAACGACATCCAAATAAAAATCATTTTGCACTCTCATCTCAAATATCAAAGAGCAATTTTCCACTCCCAGCCTTTCTGAAAATAAGAATTTACATTGTCATTTTACATATTACATTTTACCTCATTATATAGAAATGTATGCCATTGATATTCTCTTTTTAACTACTTTTGGCCTTATCTGACTGGGAAATTTTCCACTCTTATCCCCCTTTTTGGAGAGGAATTTTCCCTCTGACACCCAAGCCAAAACACAATTTTGGGACACTGGTGTGGGGTAAACGCCCAGACCACTAACTCTCCTTCCCGTGGACACAGGCCGACCACCCAGCGGCCATGTATCTCCAGCCGGTGGCCGTGAGTATTTCCCCGGCAAATAGGACTCTTTTAGCACACTGCGTGCCGCTGCCAGACTATCATGATTTGATCTCGTGACCTGCCTGGTGTGCCCCAGAATGTGGCCCCGATTTCTACTCTCCCAAAGAAATCAGGGGCTGTTCATTGCTATTGATGTAGGTTTGGTTTCAGTTAGCGAGTGAAGCATTAGTTTTGACACGATCCGGGTCCCACTATGTATAACACTTAATGCAAAGTGACGATAAGTCATTTGCGTCAAATCCGCATGCTGATACATTCTTTCTGACGTGGCTAATGGGCACTATAGGGACATGTCAGACTGGAGGAGTTTCGGCCAGTCAAATGGGATTGGTCAGAATTGTTATCGGAAAATGCTGTCTGTGGTTATCTATCGCTTTTGAGAGGGATGAATTACTGCTGGCAGCATGCTCTACAGGGTGGGCCAAAAAAAGTGTGTCACTTTTCAGCAACTATTTCTCGAAAGTGGTAAGAGATATCAAAAAGAAACTTTCACAACTTAAAGAAAATCGTTTGACAAATTATATGATACCCATTTTATGAAAAAGTTTCAGTCGAACTGATGTTGCCATCACCATTTCAAAAATGGGATATGTGCGTCTTTTATGTTTGCGCATGTGCTCGAAGTGGGCACCTCAACGCTCAAGGCACGTCTGAACACGCTCCAGGAAACTGGCGCCCACCCTCTCCACGGTGGCTGCTGTCACTTCACGCACGTACTGCTCGACGCTGAGACGCAGCTCCTTCAGGTTACCGGGCTTGTTGCGATAGACGCTGTCCTTGCAGGCTCCCCAAAACCAGTAGTCCAGCGGGTTGAGGTCAGGACTGTGAGGAGCCCACTGCTTTTCGCTTCCCTTGGTGATCACGCTACAAGCTTTGTTCATGCAAGATGTAGCGCCACCGCACACGGCCCGAGAGACACTGCAACTGCTCCAAGAGCTCTTCGGTTGCCGCGTGATCTCCAAGGGAAGCGAAAAGCAGTGGGCTCCTCACAGTCCTGACCTCAACCCGCTGGACTACTGGTTTTGGGGAGCCTGCAAGGACAGCGTCTATCGCAACAAGCCCGGTAGCCTGGAGAAGCTGCGTGTCAGCGTCGATCATGGTACGTGCGTGAAGTGACAGCAGCCACCGCGGAGTGAGCGTCAGCTTCCTGGAGCGCGTTTCCGGATGGCCTTCAGCTTGGCGGTGCCCACTTCGACCACATGGCGCAAATAAAGAGATGCATAGATCCCGTTCTTTGAAATGATGATGGCAACGTCAGTTCGATTTGAACTTTTCCATTAAAATTGATATCATATAATTTGTCAAACGATTTTCTTTAACCTGTGAAAGTTTCTTTTCCGTATCTCTTACTACTTTCGAGAAATTACTGCTGAAAAGTGACACACTTTTTTTGGCCCACCCTGTAAGCAAGCAAGTCACACGAGATCACTGTAAATATGCATGCCGGGTTGATGTTGAAAATTATTGGTTTGGACATGGTGTTCGTCTTTGAATCTTTGTGTCCTGATGTGCTGCGTGAGGTGGGTTTTCGTGTTGCTCAATAGCGTGGAGTGTATTCAATTATCGCGGTATTTATCTCTTGCTCTGCTACAGCTGATCTCTCAATCAGAATTGTCATGGGCTGTGATTATGCGTTGAACTTAACGAGATCGAGGAGGTAACGCCCCCGTTCCTCCTCAATGATCACATAGAGAAACACCAGAGTGTTACTGCTACTGCCACGAATTTGTTTATAGTGGCTGACGCTGTGAGTGAGGCCTGCCCGTCAGAATGGGATCCCGTTACTGCCCAGTCCTGGGTTTAGGAAAGGGACGATCACGAAAGGAGAGGGCTTACACAGTCGCCAGCCGCAAAGGGACGGTCATGAGGGGGGGGGGGGGACTTACACAGTCGCCGCTCGGTCGCGATCTTCCGCCCTTAGGCTGTCCTCACGTGATCTTCGCTCTCCTAAATCCTCCTCACTTGTATGTTTTCTCCCTCCCTTCATTTTTCTCCCTCCCTCCCAATGTATCTTGTCGTAGTCTGTGAGCGTTCTGTATTTATCTTTCCCATTTTTTAATGCTCCTGTTCTTAGTCCCAAGTTGTCTTATCCTGCCCTCCCCTGTTCTCCCATATCCCAATTCCCGTTCCTCCCCGTTCCTCCCCAGTCCTCTCCCCCTCTCCCCATCCTCACCGTCCTCTGGCGCGGCTCGTTCCCAGCCCAGCTGCCGGCTCGTCCTCGGGCGTACCGTCCGCCGGCTCTTCTATCGCTGTTCGAGTGGGGTGACTGTGCCTGTGAGGTGGGGCCGTGCCCGCGGGGTGGCCCGCGCCTGCGGACCAGCCTGTAAGGTGGGTGGTGCGACCGAACGGCGATGCTGCAGGGACACTGGGCTATAGAACGAACGCTAGACGTGGTGGGACGCTGCCGAGGTACCGGCTACACACTTGACACCACACAGTTGAGTGGATACACACTGGTCTGATAATGATATGGAATATGAATATCGATTTGGATATAGGCACGAACGACAACGTTTGTGTTATTGGAAGAGAGTGACACCGATGTGATGTGTTGGTGACGAGTTGTAACTGCACTTCCTGGCGGCTTTGCAACTGGTTAGTATATTTGTGCGTGGTGGAACGGTAGGGTGTGTGGTGGCAATGCACTAAATGTAATGTATCATTGAGTCTCTAGTCAAATACCATCGTAATCGTTCCGGCTCCCATCCTTTTCTCTCCCACCACGCTCTCTTCCTTTCCTCTCGCGTCCCAAAATCCCAACAAACAAACCTCCCTATCCCTTCCCCTCCGCCACCTCTGCCTCCCTCACCTCACTGACCCCGCCCCCCCTCCACCCACAGCGCGTGCCGCTCAACTTCGACTTCCCGTTTTACGGGCACATCATCCGTAACATAACGATCGCCACGGGCGGCTTTTTGTACACGGGCGACTACCTGCACTCATGGCTGGCGGCCACGCAGTACATCGCGCCGCTGATGGCCAACTTCGATACCACCATCACTAAGGACTCGGTCGTCAAGTACTCGGCTAATGGTAAGTACTTAGGACATAGGGATGGTAGGTATTCGGATAACGTTGTGTACTGGGTACTCGGCCAACGGCGGGTGCTTTTATAGAAATGGTCCATTTGTATTATTCATGGTAAACCCGTGTTGCTCCACATAAGTCCAGTGTCATGCATTTATAACAAGTTCACATTGTTAATCTGCCCTGCCGGCCGATCTGGCTGGCTACTGTATTGTCTATCAATGACAGCGAGCCGGGTGTGTAACTACGGTTGTGTGTCTGTCTGTCTGACTGACAGTGATGCCGCCGTTGCAGATACGTCGCTGACGGTGCAGTGGGAGAAGGTGCCGCTCCAGGAGGCCAACAACACCGCCTTCAGCTTCCAGGTGAGGCTGCCGTAACGTCTCACATCCTCCTGTGGGAGCGGGCCACAGCTTACCTGAAGGCTGAGAGGGCTCCCTGTGGCTCTCATCAGTTATCAGTCAATGGACGCATTAGTGAAGTAATGAACTGCATAACTAAGTTTTAGTCATGCATCCAGGCATCGTGCCTTCCGTAATCCTGACTGGCTAAACCAGCCTGTAGGATGTTCATGCCAGACCTTTTACAATTCCCAAGGCTTATGTCGAAGTTGCTTATGAAAACCACCCCACGAGAGGTTGTGGTGGGCTGTGTCAACTCAGTGATAACTCGTTGTTGTTTCTCATCAAACTGTGGTCATGTCTTTTTTTCTGTCTGTGGGTTGTCCGGCCCTGTGGCGAGCAGCAGGAAGACAGTGATATGCGCATCCGGTGGTAAGAGCAGCTTGTAACTTGGTCTGCAGGGAGGACATGTTACGTGCTTGTTACGTGCTCACTCGACACGAATCAAAGCTTCCTATAGACCATGGGCAAAGCGCACTGAGATTAGCGGCTAAGTTAGATTTTTACCACAGGCACAGCCCACCGCTAAAGTAATGTGCGGTTTTACCAATCTCAACGGATGACTTTGACTGTCGATTTTTTAATGCAGAGTGATCGAAAAGAAGACGTCAAAAGACAAGTTTAAGCTGCAAAGGTGACGATACATGTAAGCTACATCAAAGTTTCATTGTAGTCTGGCCAATCATTCCCAAGCTTCAGAAGCAGAATATACCCATGACTGAAACCGCACATCACTTCCGCTGTGGACTGTACAACCGATGTTGGGCTTAAGGTGCATGTTGCAAATACTATGCGTGTATGCGTATATACTAATGTAATGATTTACTTTGACAGACTCTAGTCCCAAGTCACCTTTTTGTATTTGCTGTTCATAGGGTAATTGTCCCCCGAGTTCACGGACGTGCACCTCGATGGCAGCAGTCTGCTCTCGTCGCGTTACACTGTGCCCTGTCATCTCCTGTATCGTTGGCGTCACGGCGTCACCATGACACCTGGCTGTTACCGTGTCTAAGCACCTTTTATAGAGTCATCCGATTAGCGCGTGTAAATGGATCGGTGGAATCCCATCTACCGTCCTGTTATCATTATCACCAGTCTTTGTGTGCCGCCGCTGTCCGTTCCAAAGGGCGCGTTCAATATAAAACACACAGCAGTGGTGTGGGGTGCCTATCAACCAACAAAGAGGCATTGAACTGGGGAGTACTGGGCCGTGTAACAACTAACGATATCTATACATATTTAAAAACAACACCTAAGAATGATATACATATTTATATAGCATCACATAGCGTCAGTTATTGTGATGCTGTTCAATTTCTGTATTGAAAAGACGTGTTGCTGGTCAGATACTGCTTGTTTTGGTGGAAATTGCTACATAGTACATGTCTATCAGGTGTGTTTGTGAAGCTGCTCGCGAACTCTAATCCATTATCGTCAACCTACAAACGACAAACATTCTAACGGCAGCCCAGGCTAATGACACCCCCCCCCCCCCACACACACACACACACTGTCTCTCTGTTCCCCTTCCACCCCCCTGACCGATGCGTGTATGTCTGTCTGCCTGCAGGTGACCATCCACCAGAGCGGTAACGTAGTGTTTGCCTACCGTGACGTGCCCGTCGATATCTCCGGCATCCAGACGACCGCCCACCCCGTCAAAGTGGGCATGTCGGACGCCTACATCATCGACAGAACCATCTTCTGTGAGTACCACCGCCGCCACCTCGGCCCCCTCCCCCGCCCGGCCTGTCCCCTCTAACTAGCATCCCACTCCTGCCCTTGCCCTCTACCGTAGCCGTCAAAATCGCTCGTCTGCGGACGTTGCAAAGTGGACGCTGGATAGGCAGTCTGCAGGACAGACGGATGGGGGACGGGTGATATGTCGCCGGTGCCTGCACAAGGGGGGGGGGGGGTCACAGCGCGTACAGCCAGCTAGCCCGCGTTGGAGCTCGCGTTGGAGCTGCGGGCACCCGCATGTCACGGTTCCGCCTCCCTCTCACCCCCCCCCCCCCACTCGTCCTGCCTGTCATACGGGGTCAGAGAAGTCATCGTAGATTTGAAACGAGCATATCATAAACTGTCATCCACTAGACCGCGATGGAAAAGACCAGCATGTTTTCGCCGGCGTCTGGCTGCCGGCTCAGACGGGTTTATGGTACTTGCGCAAATGGCGAGATATTGGACCAGATTGGGCCCTTCTCTGTGTTGACTCTCCCTCCCAGTCTAATCACCTCCCTGTGATGTGAAGAGCCGGCTGATATGACATGATCGGGTCGCCGTGCAGGTTTAAACACGTTAGATGGCGGAGAGGGTCTTACTGATCATAGCATGGTTGCACCACGTGGTATAAAGCGGTTACCACCTGATCCTACTTGTGCGCACGTTGCGTGACGGGCTAACAGTCACATGCATGGTCATCTGCTGGTGCCGGCGCATCATGTGACAGTTGTGAGCGCACTGTCATGCTGTGACCGGCGCGGCAGCGGTGACGGCTGTGTCGCGGCGCAGCGGCGCAGCGGCACGGCGCAGCGGTCGGGCTATTTCTGCCACTGTCCGGACCGCAGTCGCGGCCACCACAGCACCGCAGCGGTGCCAAGTGATGTGGCGCGCGCCCCCCGCCCTAGCGGGGGAGTGCGGGAGGGGGGTCGGTAGTGGACCATTACGATAGGTGTTCCAACCTAGCGGAACGCTCACCTGGGTCCGCGCAATCCTCATGTCACAGCTAGCTCCACCGGCTTCTTCATCAAAATCCAGCGTATTTAGCCAGCTCATCGATAATGCGAGAAAGCTAGTCCCAAGCGACTTACAGATTTCATGGGGCGAAATATTTGGTGCAAAACCAAAGCACTGACTGAATATGAGCGATACCTGTGATAGTAAGTCACAATATATCGAGACTAGCTGCACCCCGCATCCACGCCGATTCCACAATACACCTTGTCGGCGGCCTGGGCTAGAGTACTGGTGGCTCTACCAGGGCTGATGACCTGGCCTCGTAATGCAAGGGTAGCATTGTCACTCCTTTGAACAAGATCACTACAGCCCGCAGCCGAGTACCGTGGTGCCCTATTCGACTTCCTGACAGAACAGCCGCGAACTTCGGTCATGAGCAGCTCGTTCGGCTGCGAACTTCGACAGGCATCAGTCGCGTGAATCAGGCAATGCACTCTGAAGATTAGACGACGACGCTGCTTCAGACCTCTCGGTCCCAGGCGTTACAACTTTTGCGTCCACCAGTGATTGTGAACAGCCGGTTGCGCACTACTAGCCTGTTGACACTTGCCATGAACAGAGGTGACAGGGAGCCCCTGACGTTGACCGTTTATCTGTATATTTATGTACGGAAGGTGACTGACTGCCTTGGAGGCCGCAGTGCATACCTCCCGGCGCTGCACGATGTCAGGAACTGTTGGCTCGGTGTTCTCAGTGGAACAGGCACCGGCAGCTGCGTAGCAGAGCTATAAAGACGGAAGAGGTGTCTGGAGGTTGACGTCAGTTCAAATTTTCGAACCAGGACGGGCCACGCAGGCTGTTTCCCATACCTGCTACATTGCATGATTAAATCGAGACATCCAGGCATTTTAATGGCACGTGCACTGTACCACACTTTTCAAAGTTTAGTGCAGTGCAGTCACGGACGTATAAATAAACTGGACCCGCAACCACCTCCATTCAGGTGAAGCCGACAAGGCGCCATTTTACGTTGCCAAAAACCCATGCTCTGAAAGGTCATCGAACCATTACAATTGGTATTGCGTCTAAACGGATTATTGGATCGAGATGCTGGTGGTACCGTTCGATGGGTGATGCTTTGAGGCAGATGATGATGCATGTCACAGGTCATTCGGTGTCACGTGGCCCGTGCCACGTGCCGACAAAGTCGGGAAGGGCAAAAACCTTTAAGTGACGCTCCAAATTAAACGGTGGGCGGCACAGGTGCCAAATTCACAGGTCACATGTCCCGGTGTTTGACCATTAACATATGGTATGCTCGGCAGCAGGGGGTGCGGAATGCACGCGCCAGGGGCGAAAATCATGTTTTGAGGATGCATCCTCCGATTTTGGAAGACCTTGACCTAGGCACACCAAATTTGGCACACTGACACTGCTGGACACGCGCTTTAAGGTGCTGTATAAATAGGCGTGCTGTGGTACACGGTGCACGTGCTGTGCACGTGCAAACCTTTTGATGTTGCACTCTGTGTCACACATGCGGGTAGGGCGGGTAGCGCTGGCAAGCTCAAAGTGCCAAATTTACACAGGCCACCCAGAATGCATTCCAGTATAGTTATTGAGCATATCTATCTCCTGGTGGACCCCAAAGGTGCACTGTAAAAAAAAGTTTAGCATTTGGGGTACTAACGGCTGCTATTCGTAGCACCTTTTAGCGTCAAAAGAACCCTACGACGTATTTACAAAGAAGCATGGTGCTAATACTGTGCTAATGATAGCTAACATTCCCATCAAATATTATAAGTTTAGATCACCTATTCTTCTACTGAGCTTTACGTCTACTTCTGCTAGTACCCAGTCCATCAGTGAGTGCTCTTTCAAGCTGGATTTCTAATTAGAACCATTTTAAGTGTTTTAGAAGTTGGTAATGCTGAATATGGTGCTTACGTTAGTATCACAATAGAACCGGACATGCTTACAGAGGAAACAAATTTGAAAATGGCGCCAAAGAAAGTAGCTAAGCCCTGCTTTACAAATCTCTGGGAGTCTTATCACCAGCCCTTTAGCACGTTTTGACGGCGCAGAGCGATATGCGCATGCGCGTGCCAGCTGTTTCCGGCCACGTGTTGCGCCATTTTAGTGGAGTCCGTTGGTCGTGGTGGGAGTGTGTGCACGTGCTCCGGTATATGAAGTGAAATGAAGTGAAGTGAAGTGCTCCGGGCACATGCCACCGAGTGCTAGCTCTGGAATGATAGCTTAAATCAGCTATTATCGGTGGAATCCGTCGTGCGTGGCATGGGAGTGCGTGCCCATGCTCCGGGAGGCAGTGAGGTGGAGGGAAGTGCAGTGCAGCAGTGCAGTGAAGTGAAGTGAAGTGCTCCGGGGCCGGGTGGTACGTGAGCATTTGCCACCGACACATGCCACCGACACCGACGTTGATCGACTTTGGTGAGTCTGACACGTTGTATCTTTTGACATTATCTTATATTGTTTAAGTGCTTCATATTCCGACTTTGGCAAATCGCGCTTCTTGGTCTGAAGGAAAGTTGTAGTGTTGTTTGCGAAAATAGCTCCCAACAGAAGAAAAAAAATCTTGAAACTGATCCAGTTTTTTTGCTCCAGGCATGGGGCCTGGTCAGTTCTTCCGTCGACTACCACTTACAATGGAGGACAACTACGACAACAACACGGGGTCTCCGGTTCCGTCTATCACTAAACGCCGTCTGGTCGTGGATGAGGTCGAACTTATGGCCATGAACGGAACGTCGGTTCAACGACCCCCCCCCCCCCGCCTCCCCCAGTCGATCTCGCGTTAATCGTCGGTCGTGCTGCGAGTGTGCAGGTATATGAGCGACCTTTCGTTATTTCCCGTGCGTTTGTTTGTGTATATATTTACATTTGTTTTTCATGCAGATGATATGAAGTGTTGATAAATGTTCCATTATTATTTTTTAATTTTATAATGTGTTGGATGCTTGAAAGATGCACTTACACGGGAATATTGCAGAATGCAAAACACAATCATTGAGACTTGTAGTTATCACTTATCTAGGATATAACCTTTTTTGCACGTCTTTTCGGCCTTACACAATTTCCTTTTTGGTAATTGATTAGTCCTTTTTGCAGTAACTAGTGAAAGTATGTGCTGCTAAAGAAAGCAGTTTTTGCGAACTTTTCATGCAGCAGCTTTAACTAGTATAGATATTCTACTTTCAGCCCTAATGCTTTCGTTAGCATTATTCTACTTGTCGTGGGGTAACAATAGCGCTAAAACGGTTCATATGTGAGTACGGAAGGTACTAACTGCATGCTATTCTTAGCACCTTTTAAAGTTTAGCACCGCTAGGGTACTGAAAATTGGTCTAGCAGGTGTAGGGTACTACATTTAGTACACGGGTGCTAAACAATATGGGTACTTATATTAGCACCTTGATACTAAACTAGATCTCAGTTAAGTACGAATAAAATGCTTAGCTTAGCACCGCTAGGGTACTGAAAATTAGTCAATTGAAAAGTACCTCTATGGTGCTAAACTTTTTTTTTCAGTGTGCGCTCTGCACGTGCAAAAAATTATCCGCGCCGGGCGGTGGGGATTCTTGGACACCCCATGTAGGTTTATGTAAATATATCTCGAAAACGGCGTTGTGGAGCGCCGCCGTTTTTATCACACCCTTTCATGCATCTTTTTCACACATGCTGCATAACTTTCAGACCCAGGTCACTCAAGGTTAGGTCACCAGGTTACGTCCAAGTGGCCTTACCTTAGGAAAAGTTATAATGCCCCATAGCTACACAGATTGAACAATTGGTCTAAAACGTTGGCGGCGATTACTAAGAGCACCATATAGGTATAGGTACGTAAAGTATCTTATCCATAGTAAAGTATCTTATCCATAGTAAAGTAGCTTATCCATACTAGGTGTCCACCACCACTGATGGCGTCGTAACATGTTACGAATGCACTAAAACTATAACTTCTTAAATGTTGAACTGAATGCTAAATTCGAAATCAAATCAGCTCCAAAAACTG